ATAAAGATAGCGCTCCATAAATCAAAGCCAAGTATTAGATAAATTTATGTTGATTTTCTCTATATAAATTGTATTGGGTGTTTATAACACAACTATATTTTTTGTTTGTGTACATGTTACATTGTGTGTTATTTGGGATAGTTATGATGGAGTCAAAAGTTTTTGCTTTGCACAACAACTTTTAAATTTCTATTTTATCCTTGTTTATTGTATTTTAACTTGTATGGGATCTTATGGACCTTTCACACTTACCTTTTATTTATGAATGTTTGGGATCCTAAATTTTGGACATAACTCTTTATTAAGTTCAATTCTATTTACCATGGTAGTTTCTATCTATTAAGCTTATTTTTTTGGTCTTTTTAAAAGGGTAGTTAGTTGTATTAAAATTTGTTTTATTCTTTTCTACCATGATAGTGTTTTCAAGTTAAAGATTTTTTTTTAAATAAAAAGGGATTAGTTGACTTTTGTTTATCATGGTAGATACTTTTCTACTATGGTTAAGTTAAATTATTTAAAAATTTTTTGAGAGTGTTACAATAAGTGAAAAAAAAAAAGATCATAAATTCACATATGCTAGAATTCAAATTAATAAATAAAGTAAAATGATTTGTTTATAAATATTAAGTTACTTATATTTTAGACCAATAAGAAAATGTTTATATTTTGGACCAAAAGGAGTATTATTGGTATTAACATTATTAATTTTATGAAAAAAAGGAAAATGACAGATAAATCCTTCTAAAATATGAAAATGACAATTTGGTCCCATGAAATATGATAACAACAGTGGGATCCCAATGAACTTATTTGATATTAAATTTCTACATGATATTACTTTAGCATACCTTTACAATTTAAAAAATTGTGATTTTCTAAATCATTTAAAACTTGTGAACATAAATGATATAAAATTATTGGTGATTTTCTAAATCATTTTAATTATTAGTGAAGCCAAACTTGTGAATACTTATATTAAACTTGTGAATTATATTTAAAATTAGTTAGACTTTACTAAATGAAGAAAATTGCTAATATAAAGTTATAGTTTCCTAAATCATTTTAATTATTAATGAACTAAACTTAAAAATATTTATACCAAACATGTGAACTATATAAAATTAATTGCAAATTGATACTAAATTTTATACAGAAATTTAATCTAAAAAAGTGTCTTAAAACCTCATTGTCATTATTACATTCACGATATGAAATTAATATTAAGAATTTATTTGTTATCATCCCTTAAGAAAACCCTACATACACAAAAAAATTTAAATACTTCCCAGTTCCCCCCAATCCCCTGCTAAACCATCACAGTGAGCAGCCCATAAACCTCGATGCTTCATTTTGTCAGACAGGCAAAAACGACTTGGGAGAGAAGGAGGCTGGAACGACGGCAACGGCGGCACTGAACAAAGGTCAGGGCTGAAGGTCGAGCCTCGTTTTGCGACTGTTAATTGCCGAAGTCGCATTTCACGACAAGTTGAAGACGGTAGGCACTTTCCTACTGAGGTTACGGATGGATTTAGGATTACATTCAGTTTCCTCTGTCTTCCTTCGCTTGATTATGGTGGTTTGAGTTATATGGAATGGAAGATTGTATGTTGGATACATAGGTTCACGGGCTAAACTCTGGTAATGACTACATAATCCAATTTTAGATTACTATTTTCAAGGTTCTATTTCTAAGTTTTTCCTCTAAGACTTTAGATTCGCATTGAACTGCTTCCTACACGGTTCAGAAGTGTCTGATTTTACTTACGTTTTTCTTATGAACTAATTTACATGAGACTATATAGAAAATGGACTATAGTACTCGCTTAAGATAGTTTCATGTTGTAAATCGCTGCAATAAAGTTGGCTGGATGAGTTATGTAGAAGATTGCATGTGCAATACATTATCCATAGGTTCTGGGGCAAGCTTTTTGTAATGACTATTGTATAAGTTAGATTTAAAATTATGAATTTACTGCTCCTCTCAAGTGTTCCATTCTAATTCTCAACTTTTGCTAAAAAAATTTTGATTTTCATTTGCATAGCTTCTTGAGCATTTGAGATGTGGCCGATCGATTTGAATGATAATTTCTGATGCACCACATCATTATATGAGGCTATAAAATGGATTCTGTGCTTACTAAAAATAATACCATGTTGTAAATAATAACAATGAACTTATGAGTTTGTACTCACTAACAATAATTCCATATATATATATATATATATTTACTCTCTGATCTAAGGAATTCTCTTAGTTGCGACGTAAAATTCATGTCAACAGTCTATGCTTTCATGGATCTTCTCTCTGTATTTCTTTTTACATTATTTAGAATTGGTCGATTGAGTATCCTGTGTTTACTTGTGCCTAGGGAGGAACTGTTGATAGAGTGAGATTCAATCTACATAATATTCTGCTTCTGGAAGAAGCAATCTCCTTGGCACAAATTTGGCTTGTTCTGCTTTATAGTTGATTAGTTGTCAGGTTTTATTGTTAGAGACATATTTGGTCTTATTATTATTATTATTATTTGCCCCTTATTGGTGGCACTGACTGTATGTTTTTTTTTTCCTCGCCGGGCAATCCGGAGGCTGCCTCTGGTGGCCATTGGCGTCGGAACTCATGAGAGACTCTCAGGCGCAGAACCCGAGAGAGAACCTAGTAACCTTTCCTTGGTAGATTTCACAATGTTGGATGTTGTCTTATTGTAATTATGATATTTTAGTGACTAATGGTAGCTTGGTGAATCCAGTTTTATTTGCTGACATCAGGCCCAGTCCATTCTACTCTCTTTGGGCAGGCCCAACAGAAAAGTAACGCTTCTATTTTTATATTTTTGGTTGCTGTTATCTTTTTTTGTTGGTTCATGCTATGACTAGCAAACGTCAGAGCATACCAACCTTCCACAAAAGCATAATTTTGAGTTTGTGTGAATGCTTAAACACCAGATCTCAGGCTTAAGTTTGTGTAAATACAAAAAATATTGTTAGAAGAATTATTTTTAATTGGACTCAATAGTATTCCAATATGATCTTGTCATTGGTATAAAAAAGCACAATTTTGCTTCGTTAACTTTTTTCTTTTTTTGAATTCTCGTAGTCAATATATGAATTTTTTTTTTTTGGTGGCCAGAGTCAATATTCAATATACGATTTCTGGCAATTGAATTTCTTCAGCTTATGAAGTCTGAACAAATTTGTGTGAAATGAAATGATATATCTACCAAAACATCTAATTAGACATTGATTAGTATATTGAGGTAATGATCTTCCATTCTCGCATTTATTAAAGTGAAATCATAGTTGATATTGAAAGACAAGATGTTTCTTTAATTAAAAATATAAAGTAAACAGTGCGAGAAGCCTTTTTAGGGCCAAAAAATTTAGTCAAGATTAGTTGGGATAAAATAATCAAATTTCAACATGGTCTTTATAGTTCAAAATTTAAGAGATTATGCACATGAGAAATTTTAGGTGCTTAACTTTATATACTCCCTCTGTTAAAAAATATAAAATATTTTTAAAGAATTAAATGTTAAAAAATATAAGACATTTTTATTCTTTCGAGATGTAATTATTACTTTTTTTAAAAATATCCCTATTAATAATGACTTTATATTTATTATGGAGTATTTGATAGGAATAAATATGAAAAGATAGAGTTAGTTTGAAGGTAAGTAATTACTTTATTAGGGTGAAATTCGATTAAAAATATCTTACATTTTTTAATAGAAGGAATATTTAATATACTTTTCTTCAATGTGGGCTTTAAAGTGTTAATAACATTAATAATAAAATTTTATTATGAGGTAATTATAAAAAAAATCTACACATCTTAATTGAATTAAAAATGAGTACTTTAAATATGTAAGGTTGACTATATAATTTTTCTTCTATGTATAATTTGGTGTTTATAGTCTCAAATTCTAAGAAATGTATTCTAATTTTTTTTTTGAAAAAAATTAAGCATGGCTTTTTAAACAATTGGAAGATTTTTAAAAATTTAACAGTTGTAATTAAAGAAAAACAAGTGATTGAGATGAGGGAGATGAAGAAGATAAGAGAAAGAAATAGGGAGAAAAATAAGGAGAGGCTCTTATTCACTTCATCAAGCACATAATTACTCACTATGTGTGTGTGTGTGTATATCAAGTTCTTAAATTCTACGACAATAATTACAACATAGAATACATCAACATAATGATAGAATATATAGCGTTTAAGTGTTATATGCATTAATCATAGAAGACTCCCAAGAAGCTATTTATATGGTAGATTATCTAACTTTAATTAAAGGAATGCTAAAGGACAACCCTTAAAACGTTATGGATATTTACAATTATATCACAATATTTATAACAACAGTAATTTTTAACTTTAAAATATTCTGATTCTAAAAAATTATGGTTAGTTTCCATTTAATTCTACTTTCTATTTAAATTAGAATTTATTCTCACACGGGAGTTCCCTTACAATTCCGGCGTTCCCCAAGAAATCAATTGATTTCATACAAATAGAATGAGTACTTTTATTTTGATATTTATTGCTGCTACTATTAATTTATGTTTTTAAAACAATTAATATGAAACGATTTTATTTTAACAAAATTTTGCATTCCGTGGGTTGAATTTAATGAGTGCTGGTCTTTGTTATAAAACATTTTTTAAAAATATTTTTTTAATTCTTAATATAAATTATTTGATGTGATATTATTATTTTTTAATTTTTAATATTATTTTTATTTAACCTTATTAAATGTAATACAAATATAAATTTTTTATTTAAATATAAATAAGATGAAATGTTTATTGTATTTTTAAATAAAATTAATTACTAAACCACTGCCATTTAATTCTAATAAAATAGTTAGAAAAGACGTATCTTCAATGTCATCAGAAAAAGACACTGTCAAACAAACTCTTCGTCGCCACAAAAAAAAAAAAAAAAAAAAAGGGGTAAAGACAGCCTAAAAGAACATTGTCTATAAAAGGCCTTCCAATTTCTCCTGTTCTCATCCCATTCCCCTTCAAACTCGTCGAACCAATTCTCAGTTTCATCTCACAGAGCTTCAAATCACCAACGAATGGAACTGGAGACGAAGACGACGAGGGCGAAAGTAGAATAAACAGATCAAACTGTTCAATCTGTAGAGTATGGGTGAAGAATCGAGGAAGTGGGTCCTACTGGTGGCGTCGATATGGGTTCAGGCATTCACAGGGACGAACTTCGACTTCTCGTCCTACTCGTCGGATCTGAAATCGGTGATGGACATAACTCAGCTTCAGCTCAATTATCTGGCGGTGGCTTCAGACATGGGAAAGGTATTCGGATGGTGCTCTGGTCTGTGTTTGCTGTATCTTCCTCTGTGGCTCGTCATGTTCATCTCTGCGTTTCTCGGTGTTGCTGGCTATGGCCTTCAATGGCTCGTCATTCAGAGAATCATCTCTTTGCCTTATGTTATGGTCAGTACTCTGAACTCGTCTCTCATCTTCATTCTCTCTGATAGATATGCTTTGATAGACCGTCAGCTGGTTAATTCATTAATTGCCTATGAACTGTTTTATCACAGTGTGTGTGTGTGTGGTGTGTTTTTTTTTTTTTTTTAATACAACTGTTTTATTAGTACTCTTTATAATAAATGGGTTAGGAGTGAAACGAGAAAGACAAATCGTTTTTTATAGAAGGAAGGGAATGATTATTTTTATTAATACATAAAATATAGATGGAAATGCGTTGTAATTTGGATTTTTTGTCAAAAAGAAAAGGTCAATTTTTTTAGATTCAAAATATAATACAAACACTAATGGTCAAAACTAAAAATATATTTAAAAGAACCTGTATAAAAAACTATTATGTACATGATACGTAATTGACTGTTAGTTAAAAAAATAGCCGGTAGTTGGTGGACCCAGAAAAAAAGAATTATTATGACATTTGTTTTTCATTTAAAAGACAAAAGTTTTTACAGTACTTATTTTCCTCAGCTCATAAGTCTCATAGTTATGAGACTTGTATTTTTCCGAAGGAAATGTGTGAGCCTCTTGAAGCCACACAACAACAATCCTGACCGCAAGTTTAAATGGTGACTGAAAGTGGAGACAAATACAATTGTGTCCTTGGGACCCACAATTTTGTTTTAATATTGAGTCAACATTTAAATAAATTGCTTATAAAACTCAGAACAAGCACGTGGAGTGGTGGAATTTGATCCCACGTCTACTTAAAATGAGCATCAAATAAAAAAGAAAAAACAGGGAAAAAAGAATTTAAGTTTAAGTTAGATTGAATACAATTTTTTTATTAACTTTTAATCTGTTATGGTATGGATAACTTCTAATTTAAAAAAAATTGATGATAAACTTCTAAAAAATTTTAAATTTGTAATTAAGATGATACCAGTTGTTAACTAGTACTCCCTTCGTTTAAAAATGTAAGGTATTTTTAATTGAATTTCACTCCCGATAAAATAGTTACCTACTTTTCAACTAACCCTATCTTTCCATATTTATCCCTATTAAATACTCTACAATATATGTAAAGTCATTATTAATAGAGGTACTTTTGAAAAGAAGGCAATGATTGTACCTCAAAAAATTAAAAGTGCTTTACATTTTTGAACATCCAACTCTTTCAAACATACTTTATATTTTTTAATGGAGGGAATATGTTATCAAATATTTTAGTTGATTTTAAATTTAAAGGAATTAAATATACGTAATATGAAATTCATGAAAATTAAGTAATAGTATTTAAAATTTTTCTCCTTCGCAGCTTAAATTTCATGAGAACATCCAAGAAGGCATTGTTTTTTATGAAAATATTTTGTGAGAAATTTAATTTTTTCTTGGTGTGTTACAATGAAAATTTTAATTTATACTCTACAAGTTTTAAAGATCGAGAGATTATTACATAAATATGATTAAGAGATTGTATGTGTAGATCTAAAATCTGATAAGATTTTGTATAATTTAAAATTATTAGCATTATATTTTGGCCAAAATAAACCTCAGCCTTTTTTTTTGGGGGATAAAATCTTGGTTATTTGCTTTGTTGCTTTTTAAATTATATGTTTGTTTGTAATTAAATTCATTCTTTTTATTTAACTCCAAAATGTTGTCCCTGTCATGCTTTTCATTTTCAACTAATTTAATTAACTGAGACTGCGGTCGAACAAATTCCCTTTTGCACTCGTTATATTTATTTTAAATTAATTTATAGAAGATATTGGTTTAATAAATGTGTGTTGGATGGTTTTTTTTTTATATTTAATATTTAGTTTCACAGCTACGATATGATCTTCTCCTTTCTAATAACTAAATTTGCAATTTCAGAGTGAATGAATTTGAAACTCTCCTACACCAGTCTTTGTTTATTTTTCCCTTTTACTTGTCATTTTATAGCCATATCTCTAAATAAATTAGTTAATAAATGGTGTAGTCTTTTGTAATAATATTTAAAATTATGAGATAAAAATATTTTACTGTATTTAGGAGTGGTTTGGCTTGTTTAATAACTTAAATTAATTAATAATTAATGGATAATCTCGTCCTTATATACCTTTGTGACATTAATTGGTGTAACGTTGTTGGCCACAATACCTAACTGTTGAGATGATTCTTGTAAATCAAGAAATAAACGTGTTTGGTTGCCTTTCAAGATAGAATGCTTTAAATTTAAAACATTAAAAAAATAATAATTCAGCCACCCACCTCTTCCTAATTTTCTTTATATTTATCCACTATTAAGTGATATTCAATTATTGTTGTTGTTGTTGTTGTGTGTGTGTCATGTTACCTTGCTTGGCTGGAAGTAGACGTAGTGTTCTTCATTCAGTTCAACTATTGTTATATGTTTATAAGTATTGACTTTTTCTGGCATGCATGACCTTAGAATAATTAACCATAGTCACTAGCATCTCTAAACAAAGCAATGACAATAAAAAATATGTCAACACGGTAATGATACTTAATTGTCATGAAATTTTTTATGTCAATAAAATCAAATTATATCAAAATAAAAATCATTTATATTATAAATTTTAATAATTTGATTTATTGAAAAAAGAAAATTTGTTTAGAAGAACATCATAGCACATAACATTTAATATATTTTAAGATTTTTGTTGTAATATTTAATAAAATTTGTCAATAATAATTCTCATAATCTCTTTTGTCAAATGTAAAACATATCCCATGACAGCTATAATTTTAAGAACTGAAGCAATTGAACTATATATAAGTAGAAGATTATGTGTAGAATTCAAATGAAAACTCCTTTTAATGTCTCCAAGCTTATGCATAATGTGCCCACTTTGGAGGAGGGAGGCAGAAATATATAACCACTATATTTTATTAAAAGAAAATTAAAAAAGTTCCGGGGGTCATGACTCTCCCTAGTCCCCATATCTCCACCCTTGATCATTACATCTCATCATCTCCACATAATGACAGACAATCTTGAACACAGTTTCATATAATAATAATAATGTTTATTTGCATATATAGTTTCATACTTGTGTCTTGCAGCACTCAATTCTTTTCAAGGGAGAAAAGTATTTCGCCACACCATAATTTAATTAATCGAGAATTCAATTCAACCTGGCAATTAAAATTTGATTAAAACCATACGCAGGTGTTTCTTTCATGCTTGGTCGCTGGTTGCAGTATCTGCTGGTTCAACACAGTGTGCTACGTCTTATGCATAAAAAATTTCCAATCAAGTATTCCTCTTGCACTCTCTATAAGCATCAGCTTCAATGGTGTAACTGCAGCTCTATACACTTTCATTGTCAACTCAATCAATTCCAGCGATGACACTCTCTACCTCTTGCTCAACGCCCTGGTTCCTTTACTAATCTCCTTTGTCGCACTCGTTCCAATCTTGATTCTCCGGCAGCAACCGGCGCATGCTCTTCCACCGTCTGACTCCATTCTCCGCCACGACTTCCCAGTCTTCATCAGCCTCTACATCCTTTCTCTCATCACAGGCATGTATAAAACTCTTTTATGTTAGGAATGCTTGATGCTTGCCTACATTAGCAACATAATTAAAAATATTTAGTTAGACACGCTCTAAACTTTATATGTTCTTAATCCATTTTTTAATTTTTAATTGTGAAACTCCTTTGACTTCTTTATCTTTGGTATTCCTTCCACTACTTTTCATATTTTCTTCTTCTTGTTTGATCTTGTACTTTTTTCTTTTAGTCTTAGAGACCTCAAGTTTTTTCTTCTTCTCTCTTTCTTTTTAACTTCTTGTTTTTTTTCATCTTTCATTCATTCATTAATTCTTTTTTTCTTTCTCTTAAATATTTTTTTTTTTTTTTCCAATTAAATAACTCATGATACTATATTAAACACTTTATATTAAGTATGTTTGACGGTGTTCTATTTTACCAAAACAACTTAAGGCATTTGGTTAAACATACCCAGAACTTTATATATTTTTAATATATTTTTTTAATTTCTAAACGAGGGATTTCTTTGATTTTTTTTATCTCTAATATTACAGGCATGTACCTCCTTGTCCTTGATACCATGACTTCTAGCACAACCTGGGCACGTATTATCCTTGTAGGAGCTGTCTTTCTGCTTGTGATTCCATTGTTCGTTCCCAGGATTGTGTATAGCCGTTTCGTTTCCTTGAGCTGTTGTCTGCGAAACTCCAGCTTCGATGATGACGATGAGATTGATAAAGGGCTGATTGGTGGTGGTGGTGGTGGTGATGAAGATGAAGATGAAAAGGAAAGTGTGGTTTTGATGAGAGAGAATAAACTTAAGTGTGGTTTTGTGAAGGAGATGATGGAGAGGGACAAGATGAGAGTGATTTATGAAGAACATTCAACGAGGTTGTTATTGAGAAGGTTGGATTTCTGGTTGTACTATGTGGCATATCTGTGTGGAGCTACGATTGGATTGGTTTACAGTAACAACTTAGGGCAGATTTCAGAGTCACTGGGATTTAGTTCAGAGACTACTTCTATGGTATCGTTGTACTCCATATGTTCCTTCTTTGGTCGTCTTCTCGCTGCTGGCCCAGACTTCATGAGCAAGTATGTGATCAATACTATTTTAGTTGTTTATTTACATTTAGGTCAACTTTCATTTGGATCCTCTGCTAAAAATATTTCTTAATTAAAATATACAAAACCCTTTTAAATATTGAGGCAGTTGTATAGAACCCTTCATATTTAAATATTTAAAATTAACTTTTTTAACCTTTTTTTTAATGACATTCTCTCCTATTATTATTTCTTAGCTATTTTAGTAAGAGAAATTGTTATGTCATATTAAGAAAAGACATGTAGTAGCTTATTGACATTTGATATAATCCAATAATAATAAAAAAAATTAAAAAGATATTATATATTAGGTTACATTACATGACACATAAGTTGCTACATGTTTTTTTCTAATATGATATGACAACTTTTGTTAGTTAGAGGACTAAGAAATAACTTAAGGGAGTTTGGGGTAAAAAAAAATAATAATAAAAGTTTATGAAGGTTAATGTTAAACTTTTAAAGATGAGAGGGGTTTTGTGCAACTATTACCTCAAAGTTTAGGGAAATTTTATATATTTTAGCCAAATTTCTTTTAATTCCTTGTTGTCACACAACCGAAAAGAGATAGACATATAATAAGGGGATTCACATTATTGTCCCTAATTTTATGATCTTGGTATATCCTTAGTTGAACACAAGGGGCTTATGTAATGTTTGGTAGGTACAAAAATAGTTTTTTAAAAAGAAAATGAGAAATGCACGTGTTTCATTTTCTTTTTAGGTTTATTTTTTATTTTCTTGTCGAAAATACTTTTTTGTACATCATACATTATTCTTTACTTTCTGTTAACTTAAAGAAGCCGTGACTCATGCATGAACCTAAGGATGACCCTGATCTTAATAATAAGTCCCATTTTAGAAGTGGTACTAGAAACCACAGTTACCCCTTTTAAGTTGTATGAACTGCAAGAGAATATATACTCTCTCTGGTCCAAAATATAAGCTTTTTCTCTCAATTAATTTTAGTTCAAAATATAAGCAACCTCCAATACATGTAATTTTTTTTTCATTTTACCCCTAGTATTTATTAATCTAGATCTTTATGTAAATTTATTTTTCATTCATCACGAAATCCATTAGTGATTAGGATTAAGGGTGAAAAGGAAAAACAATATATATTTTTATGAGAATAAAAATAATTTTATTAGTATACAGAATTTTCCTAAAAATTGCCTATATTTTGGATTGGAGGGAGTAATTATTTATTTTATCTTCTTCAAAAGTTTAACATATATGAATCTTAAAGCTTGGTTTAGATAGAAAAGTGAGAAGACAATAAGAATAAGCGACAACAAAGAGAAGAAATTAAATTTATAAAAATAAAGGGTAACTGGAAAACAACTTAAGTGGAAATTAAAAAAACTTGTTGGCTTAGACGATGTGGTAAAGTTTTTCATGTTTGCCTAGAAGCAATTCTAAAGCTGCACGCACTCTCTTTCTTTCTCTCCCCTCTCCCCCCACTTTTTTGCTCATATGTGGAGTTTTCTAACATTAAATTTCTTGTATCATTTTTCATAATTTTTTCTAATTTTTCTATAATTCTCAATTGTTTTATCCAGTTTATTTCTATTATTATTTGCACACTTCCTAATAAGAACTAATCCACAAATGGTATATATACAATAATAATACAGCTGGAAGATACACTTTCCAAGGACAGGATGGTACACAATAGCCCTGATTCCAACACCAATCGCATTCGCTTTGCTTGCAGCATCATCTGGAAGCGAAGCATCACTGAAAATAAGCACAGGCATGTTGGGTTTAAGTTCTGGCTTCGTCTTCTCTGAAGCAGTCTCCATTACTTCTGAGCTCTTTGGGCCAAACAGTGCTCCTGTGAACCACAACATCCTCATCACCAACATCCCTATAGGATCATGTCTCTTTGGCCTTATTGCGGCTTTGGTTTATGACTCCAATGCTGATTCGTCGTCGATGGCGACACGTGGCATAAGCTGGTTGCTTGGCATGTCGATGTGCACTGGAAAGAAGTGTTACTTCCAAACTTTCATATGGTGGGGTTGTATTTCCATGGTGGGTTTGGTTTCAAGCTTGTTGCTCTTCTTGAGGACTAGGATGGCTTATGACAATTTTGAAAGAAACAGAAAGAGACACAGAAATATGACACAGAACTGATTAGTTTTAGATAATTAATGTAGGAGGATGTGATCATGTTTTTTATTGATGTCCACAATTCCAAAATATTGGATCAAAAACTGTGTCACGAGATATTTGAATGTGTAATGATACGTAAAACGCCATCGTTTATAAGTTTGCATTGTTAATTAAATTGATTTTTGGATCAAGAAAGTTATTAGGTGTGATACTATAATTGTCAAACTCTCGAGTTGACTCTATAAGTTTAACATTTTTAGTTTATAAAATTATGACAACTCATTTATAAATTCAAACTAAATATAAACTCTACTAAATTTACATGTTTTGTCTTTGAGTTTATCATTTTTATGTTTTTACTTATAAAATTTATCAATTAATTCATAAACTCGAACTGATGTAAGCTTGTTAAAGTTATTGATTTTTTTTTTTCGAGTTAAGCAAGTTAAGTATCTACTGTAAAGAATTCAGTTTATGAAAATTATAAAACCTGGTTCAAAGAAAAAAAAATTTAAAATGCAAAAAATAATATTAATAAAAAAAGAAAACAAAAGTACCAAAAATAAGTTTTCTTGTTTTAAAATTTCTATGTTTTGTATGATAATTTATTAATTTATATGTGTTTAATTTCAATGATTTATATGTTAAATATATTTAAATCAAAATATGTTCATATTTTATATTGTAATTATTTAATAATAAATTTTTAATGGTTATTTATTAATAAAGATAAACTCTTACGAGTTTATGATTCAAGTTTGCAACCAGAGTTTACATTCCTATTACAATTTATGTGTTTAATTTCAATGATTTATATGTTAAATATATTTAAATCAAAATACATTCATATTTTATATTGTAATTATTTAATAATAAATTTTTAATGGCTATTTATTAATAGAGATAAATTCTTACGAGTTTATGATTCAAGTTTGCAATCAGACTTTACATTCCTATCAAGTTTATTTAAACTCACGAGTTTAATAGCCTTCTAATACATAAAGTTTTAGAGTGAGTTCAATTACTTTCAAATGATTCTCAAACAAAAAAATTGAGAATTGATAAAGGACGTAAATTTATAGGCAAAAGAAATCATATACCTACATGCGCGTGTAGGAGCATGCGCACACACATATATTGTTGTTGGAAAATCTTGTAAAAAAGCCAATTATTGTTGGCAATGGCAATATAGAATTTGATCTGAATCATGTTAAACGATATTATTCTTAAAAATTATTTTAACAAAGTTGTCAGCAGCTCTCTAGGATTTAGCCAACCCTTCCTACAAAAATAGGGTGATAGAACAACATAAATGTAAATAGGAAAGAAAGTACCTAAGATGAAGAAGAGAAGAGCTCAAAAACTCTTGAGCATTGCGTCGAAATAAGCATTGGGTACAAGCTTATATAAGCCAAAATTCATGGGGGATTTAAGGACAATAAATACATATTAATGGACTTGAATATGATTAAATATGGCTTAATGAGCATTAAGGAAAACCGTTTCTGAATATTGTAATAAAATTAGTTAATAGTGATTAAAGTGCTTGACATCACATCTACTCGCACAAGCCCACAACTATATTGGCATGTTATTATGTGTGTAAACCCACTTCTTTTTTAGCTTATTTACTTGATCTAATTTTCATCTTAGTGTATATACACTAAGGCTTCCTCAAGCTTGAGCAATATAAAACTTTTTTTGACACACACACAAACATAAAAAACTTCAACACACACATATATCCCACCTATGAAAACCTGAAACCCCCGTTTGGTATGATCATTGGAAAAAGATTCTTTTTGATCATGACATGCAAAATTTATCAAAATATACGATGGCGAAGCTACGACTCGGAACTATAGGGGTTGTAAGATAATTTATTTAAAAATTATACTTTTTTAGAAAATAATAATTTAACTGAAAAAATAATTACATTAGGACTAAAATTATAATAACATAAGTAAATTAATTATCATTTTTCTTTTTGAAAAATTTATATTGAACACATTGACATGATTTTTTCATATGTAAATATGCTATTTATATCTTATCTCAATAATTAAAATATTACATATCTAGCAAGCTTTTGAGCTCAAATATTTTTTTTATTTCGTTTAGAGGGTATAAAATATCAAAGGTATGGGATGTAAAATTATAAAATTTACTTATCCTACTTATAATTTTTTTTTCAAAGTGAAGGGGTGTATTTTGCATGCCCTCACTACAATGTGGCTTTGGCACATGGACAATATATATGCAATTTTTTTTATATCTCTGTTATCTTGTTAATCATAGTATGCAATTAATCTTTTCAAACCGAGGTGATCATTATATTTGTGAAGGTATATGTTCGGAATTCATTGGTTTTTCAATCACGAGTAAACCATGGTCAAACTAATCATGTAATTTTCATATTACAGCTTGGTTTAGTCATAAAGAGCACATTTAATTTCTTTCTTCATTGTGTACTTGAAAAAATACATTCTTTATTGAAACTCGAAAGATGGGTATAGAGATGTTGGAGAGTACAAGAAGGCCCATCAGAAGCAATAGGAGGCCCACGCATGTGAGACTAAGAAGTTCAAAGTTTCTGGGCCCAAGACTAAGTCAAAACGGATTAGCCTTGTTGATAGGGTTACTGCTGATTGTCTTTAAATCACCAGTGATACATAAATTTCTGAGATTATCTATTTATTCACAATTAATTTTTTATAGATTTATTATTAACCTTTTTAAAATTCATCATAAGTGATTATCCTTAGATTTAATCTAAGTGAGGAAACATAAATTCATAAAACTATTTATCCATTTGTAATTGACTTTTCATTAATTAATAAGTGACATACTTAAATTTACAATTAATTTTTATTTAAGTTTATGAGTCACATTCCATTGATTATTTTAATAGTTATTTATTTTTTAATTAAAAATAAATTTCATGGTCATTCCATGATATTTTAATAATTAGATGCCTTCAATTGTCATTAATACTTTACAAGATCTGTAATTGTTGTTTTCCCTATTTTTTCAAATGAATTGTTCTATTTTATTTTTTACATGTTTTTTAAATAGAAAGGAATCAACTAATGTTATTATTTCTTATTCCCAAAACTTATTCTGGAAAATGATTTCATAAAATTATTTAATTTGATCAACAAATATAAAAAATTATATATATTCATTTACTTCATCTTAGAAATTTTGAATGTCAACGGATATGCTATATAAATTATATGATCTAGCCTACCATAATTGGAAGATAATAAAGGTACTTATCACTACTAATTTTAACAATTAATTTTAATTTTCTCATTAATTCAATAACATGTTTATTGGTTTTTCTATGCAATGCCCACGACAAATAACATATAGTGAGGATTGTGAATATTGCGTCATGAGATCTTTTAATGACATCATCACTCATGGGATGACTGTAATCCCGCTATGGTATGTATGTTATTTAGATTCAATTATATGTTATTATAAATTTTAATTTGCTGAAATAATTAACTTTGTTGTCACATTATATTATTGTAGTATTATCTCGATTCATATTGCAAAGAATTCAAGGATCATCACATCAATGAATTTATTGATGAATGGTGTAAGTACGTTTTCTAGCTGTGGGTAAAAAAAATAAGTGAATTGCACATTTTTGTTTTAGTTTTTCTCATTTAGATTTTATAATTTAGAACAATTTTAGTTTAGTATAGCAAACAATTTTATTTTACTTAATATTACGTTAAGCAATTGTATAGGAAATAAATTTTTTTATTTTAATAAAATTGTTAGTTTATTATAATTGAATTTAGTTTAGTATAATTATGAAATTAACTGGTCTGTATTTATATTATACTATTGTAAGGGGGCTGCAAGAAATGTAGCCAATGTATTTTAAGAAAATCAATATATTGGATGGTTATGTAGGATAACCATCCAATATAATGAACATATTGCATAGTTGTGGTCACAACTGTCTAATATTTGATAACATATTGAACAGTTATCATGATAATCGTCCAATATGCTTATTATATTGGACAGTGCTGGTAAACAACCATCTATCTAATATATATTTTACCTACACCACTCTTTTTAACAATATATTGGATAGGTCTTTAAACTGTCTAATATTATAATATTGGACAGTTGTACTAATCATCCAATATTTGTTTTATCAATATATGACGGTGTTACACAAGTGTCTAATATAGGCAAAAAGAATTGTTTAATATTTTCTTTTTTGTAGTAGTGATACTTTATATTGTCACAGTAGTTGTTAAAGTATCATTAATGTTTACAAACTGTCCAAGGGCCAAAATACGATCCCAACCACTAGTGGCAGGCAATTGCAAGTCCAAATTAATTAAATTAATTCATGAACCTTGTGCAAATGCAAATCCAAATTCAACATGTATGAAGAAAGGCAAATGTAGCAAGTACTTTCCTAAAACAATTGTTGATCACATAGTTGTTGAGGATGATGGATATTTAACTTACAGAAGGAGAAATGATGGTAGAACAATAATCAAGAATGGTGTAACTTTTGATAACAGATTTGTTGTACCTTACAATGCAAGGTTACTTGAACTTTTCCAAGCTCATTTGAATGTTGAGAAGACATATCAATCTACTTCCATAAAGTTCCTTTTCAAGTATATTAGCAAGGGAATGATTTTGTTATTGCTAGCATGTACAATAACAACAATGATTATGATGCTCAACAAAGGTTTGATGAAATTACTCACTACATCAATTGTAGGTATTTCTTTGCATGTGAAGGCTCTTGAAGAATATTCTCATATGACATACATGAAAGATACCCTCCTATAGAAATGTTAGTGCATATCATTTTCCTGACTATCAATCTATTGTTTACAAAGTAAACCAGAAAGTTTAAAGTGTTGTAGATAATCAGAGTATCAAACAATCAAACAGTCGATAATTATTGTATGGATGCAAAGAAATGATGATGATGGGTTTACAAGAAACCTACTTAGAGTTGCCTCATCACTATGTTTTTTACAAGTTAAGAATTTGAAAAGAATGACAAAGAGGATTTGCAGTAGGAAGACTAATAAATGCTTCTCCATCCCAAGGAAAATCATACTACCCACGAGTACTGTTAACCAAGGTTAGAGGTCCTAAATCATTTGAAGAAGTTTGGATAGTCAACAATGTTCAACAATGTT